GAATTCGGTTAGTAGAGCACATAAAGAGATCACCCCTTTCCTACAAAACCCACCAAGCCATTGTTCTGGTTGTTACATTTGTAGCGTATGCTAGCTACCACGCTGCTCGAAAAACCACGAGCGTGGTCAAGAGTACTCTTGATCCCGAATCTTCGGTTACGAGCTTAAGGTCTTGGCCATGGAGGATGAGTTACTTAAGTAAGCCAGATGAAAGCAGAAGGTTTTCTTGGGTTCTTGGAGATGGATGGGCCCCATTTGATGGATCAGATGGCACAGCCTTGCTTGGTGAAGTAGACCTTGCTTTCCTGGCTGTGTATGCCATAGGAATGTACTTCTCCGGACACTTGGGTGATAGAACGAATTTACGAATCTTCCTAACAATCGGAATGGTGGGAGCAGGGGTGTTTACTGCAGCATTTGGAGTTGGATATTGGGCAAATATTCACACCTTCTATTACTTCCTCGGCGTTCAAATGCTTGCTGGTTTGTTCCAATCGACCGGATGGCCTTCAGTAGTTGCAGTTGTTGGTAATTGGTTTGGGAAGAAGAAGAGAGGGCTGATTATGGGTATATGGAATGCTCACACTTCTGTTGGGAACATTACAGGGTCTTTGGTTGCTTCAGCCCTACTGGGATACGGGTGGGGCTGGTCCTTTGTAGTTCCGGGTCTTATAATCGCTACTGTTGGTGTGGTGGTTTTTCTGTTCTTGCCTGTTAGTCCGGAGGATGTTGGAGCCAGTGAAGAAGATGAATTGCACTCTCCCAAGAAAATCGGGGAAGGAGTAACGGAACCATTGTTGGAACCAGAGGCAAAAGTGCAGGAGAGCGCTGTCGGGTTCATAGAAGCTTGGAAAATTCCCGGAGTTGCTCCTTTCGCTCTATGCCTCTTCTTTTCAAAATTGGTTGCTTATACATTTCTATACTGGCTTCCTTTCTACATTACTAACACAGGTACTTTACCTTGCTGTTTTGAATTTGTTGTTGTGTTAATTGCATTTCTCGATTTGCTTTTGTATATGTCATAGTTCTTCATATCGAGTCTTGTTATTGACTTGCATTACTTGTTTATACATGTTGCAGCTATCGACGGAAAGTATTTATCCAGTGAAGCAGCTGGTAACTTATCCACATTGTTCGATGTTGGAGGTGTTCTTGGGGGAATCCTTGCCGGCCATGTATCCGACCGCTTAGGTGCCAGAGCCATAACAGCTGCAAGTTTCATGTACTGTGCTATCCCTGCTCTCTTTTTCTACCGAAGCTATGGACACATATCCATAACTCTGAACATTGCACTCATGTTCATCACTGGCATGTTTGTGAACGGGCCATATGCTCTAATAACAACAGCCGTCTCAGCTGATCTTGGAACACACAGCTCATTGCGTGGGAACTCGAGGGCATTGGCGACCGTGACAGCAATCATAGATGGAACAGGGTCCGTTGGGGCTGCCATCGGACCGTTGCTGACTGGCTACATTTCAGCCATAAGCTGGAGTGCAGTTTTCACAATGCTGATGGGAGCAGCTCTGATTGCAGGGCTGCTTCTGACTAGGCTTGTTGTGGCCGAAGTTGCTGCAAAGATTGAAGAATCAAGATCGCGAGGGTCTGCATCACGGCCTCAACCTGCAGCAATCGTTGTGTGATAATAATAGAGGAGAAGAACCTGGTTTTTTAATGAAGAGGCGACGGTCCTCCATAGTCATAGGAAGTAGAGGTTTTATCCTAAACCTTCTCCCCAGTTGTACCTCAAATTGAAGGGGAAGGGGAAGAAGGAAGGGGTGTTGTGTCTTTGTATTACATGTTTGTACATTATTTGTACGTTTTGTGAATATAATTACTTCATGATTGGGGAGGATGACAAATTAAGTCATTCCGGAACCGAAAATTCCATTTGTTGGCTGCTTCGTTTTTGTGCTTGAAAAACTGGTTCAGGAAACGTCTTTGAAGTATCTGGTTGCTCAAACACTGAAACATCCACATGCAGGGCGACAATGGTAGGGAAATGTTCTTCTCTTAGAACCTAGAAGATAACCGGAAAATATCACTATGACGGAGTTTTCAAGCTAATCAAGGCAGTATGTCCAACTTTTTCATGTGCTATTGCATAATTAACTTAAGATATCATCACAGTAGTAGCGTCTGATTGCGGCCGCAGAAATTGACTGTACGGGAAGGAGCTTTAGATCCTGAGGAGTAATAAGGGCCACTGGAAGCTTGTGCTCCTTGCTGTGTGTGGGGGGACCAAAGACGCTTTTAGCATAGCTAAATGCTCACCACAACCACAAGAACCTGAAATCCTTTGGGTTTTGGGAAAGGGAATGGTAGGCAGGTAATCCATTTGCCATGCAACTACAAGAACGGTTGGAGGGAGATTATTGGTGCTAGTAAGTCTATATATTATAGGCCCTCCTTAAAATTCAGTCTTGACAACGACTTTGAAGAAAAAGATGATGCATTTTTCATCTAATTTGAGTGTTGCTATTTTCGGATTCAAATACGCTCCCTTATTTGTTTGATGACAGACTTTTATATATGGAGAAATCTTTGTGGATATCAAAGATCATGTTCTATAGTGTTCTTATTTCACATATTATAATATGTGTAAACGATATAGTTATTATGTCTCATTTCTAAAATTTAATAATAAAGAATATGTTTATACGTGTAGTGGAATACGCGGTAGTGTTTTGGGTATACGAATAAAGTATAATGTTGCACAACCCCAATTTCCCTTATGCTCCCCTAGCTAGTAATATACTAAATGATGGGGGTAGTTCGGAAGTTCTTCTGCGAAAAGCACATATGCTCACAAATGTTTTGTTTGAAGCGCTTTCATTAGAATCACATCAAAACTTCTATGCAAAGTTCAATTGTTCATGTGGAAATCATATATGCTTATAGGCATTTGAATACAAACTCAGCAAACCCTTATACAGAAAGCACTTCTCAAGTGAAAAGCGCTTTAGCCATTTGAAAAAAATACTGCCTGAAGGGATGGCTGACTTTAAAAGGAAAGAAAATTTATAAAAGTTTGGTGCGGAGTCCATCCGTGACAATTGCATCTCAATAATAGTGGTTTAGTGATGGCGACGGACAATTTGCCTTGGTATAGTGTTGTGTTTTGCTACGTTTTCTCTAACATGTTTGTTGCATCCCGAGGGATTTTTAAGTTTGTCGAGAACACTGTTCGTTACATCAAGTATTATAATACAAATAATTGGTACTTAAAAAATAATTCCAACTACTTATACTGTGATACGTAGTGTACCGAACTATATTCGTGACATACTGAAAAATCTGCCCTTGCCTCACCTAATAAACCACAAAAATCACATAATTAATTCCTCGATTAAACTTAATCAAATCCGATTCCACTTTCTTATCCACCACAAATAAGATAGTGTCATACTGATTTATCCGCAAATCGATTAAATATTCAAGCACTAAGATTAAATTAATAACCTTTTTAACCATTTACTAATCCGATTTATATGAAGTTCATGAACCACAAACTTAGTTGCACGATCATGTCACAATTCCAGCACTAAGATTAAATTAATAACCCTCTTTAAGTATTTACTAATGAGATTCAAAATGAATTAAACCACAAACGATATAGAAGCCGATCATTTCATAAGTATTTTCTGGCCTAACTTTATCCATCGCAATGGATAGTGATTTTCACACTTTCATTTTGTCAGTCTGCAAGAGTCGAGTAAACAAAAGCAACACGCGATCGGGGCCAATCAGATAAATCCATCAGCGGGCTGGGCCAACAAGGGTCATGTTGGTTTGGATGTTATACAGCCCGTTTAGGATGAAATACTACGGAAGGCCCAAGATTGCGGGAGCAACAAAAGAAATCTGCACCAGCAGGAAGAAAAACCACTAGCAGGAAGGATAAGAACAAGCAGAGAAACACAGCCAAACGAGGCAGAAAAAACATCACGGCTAGAAGGAGGAATTAACATGAGGAATTCAACACCGCCTAAGGCGGGAAACCTTCCTGAGAGTAGTCGACAGCCACGAGAGTAGTCGACAGCCACGAGAGTGACGAACGCTTGCAGTCCCTAATTGTTCCTACCCTACCAAAAAATTTCCAGCTCTGACATGCAGAAACGCTACTAATCCTACTGGCGTTTAAGCATCATTAAGACATTATATCATTAAGACATTATAACATAATCAATAGACCACAAAAGACACAGACAGTTTCCATCAGCCAACGTGATTCTAGGCAAAGCTAGACACGCAAAATGAATAATTGCAGCCAGCAACGAAACTATGCTGCACTGAAGGAAACATCGTACCAAATACAACTGTGAAAAGGAAGAACCTTCTCAACAGAATGCCAGACCAAGAGAAGAAATGTCAGAGGCTGATAATAAATCCTACGGACTGTTTGGGCGATCCAAAGGAAAAAACTACAATGAAATCAGAAAGACGTCTCAAGGAAGCATGTTACAAATTGACTTCAAAAAGTGAAAGCACTATGTTACGAAGATAAAAGAAGCCTACTCTACGATGGCACTTCGTATGACCTCGAATCATTATATATTCACTTCAAGATTTTCTAGATCACAACCCGGAATTGTGACTCAAACAACATAAAATTAACTTAATGATGGATCATGCCAAAGTGTACTAATTCTGCTCCCTAATGTTTCTAAAAATTGGACATCCACCTCACACGCAATAATTTTTGCTCAACGATAATCACCATTGAGCATCCATTATTATACGCATGTCTAAGCCATTAAATTGAGCTGCTAAAAGGGGCTGAATTCTAACAGCTGACTATTTTCAATAAGTGAACCTGCACACTCCCACTTGATACTCTGCACTAAATGCGTACTATCAACTATCGAGCGAAATCTCTAATTCTTCGATAAAATCATAATTACCCAACAATAACTTTTGCTCAAAAGCGATTCGACTGAAAAATCTTCGCATACAGCAATGTTTACACAAATGCAGGCACAGCAGTAAAGTGCATAAAATTGTAAAACTCCTTCAAGGCTTTTCATTTACTATAACAAAAAGAGTATACATTTTGCATTGAATCGAAACCCGAAGCCCGAAAGCAACGAGTTCATCACAAATTACCTGTAACATTTTCTCCAGCAAAAATTTCATAACCGTGCACTGATCACGTCAGTTAATATTAAAGCAGAAAATTTTCCCAAAACGAGAACCTGGGTCGGAAACCGCGTCGTTGAGGAAGCAAGCAATCCTAGTCGTCGTCTCGCTTTTTGGGCTTGCGGTACTTCTCCTCGTATTGCTTGGCGATGAAGACGGCCTTGTCGCCGAGCTTCTTGATGTTCGGAACGTCGTAGTTTTGGGCTATGTAGATCCCGGCGACCGTGCCCACTAGGAAGGAGAAGCTGCTCTTTATTATCCCCATCCGAATTTGCAGAACAACAATCGATTCAAATCGATTTCTAGGGCTTCCGATTTGAATTCGAGGGTATTTATGGGGAAGAAGACATTGGGGCCTCTCAGAAAATTCTCTGTTAAGACGGTGTCGTTTTGGGTGAGTTGACTTGAACCGGTCATCAACGTACAGGCGCCCAAGGAGCCAATTTATTTAATTTTTTTCAGGTCTTATTCTTTTATTTTTAAGAATTTTAACGAAAAATTTTCAGTACTATTTATTTTAAATGAAAATTATATTTTTACATTAAAAAAATAATTTTTATACTATTAATTTTATCTTTTATTTTATTTTTATTGTTAAAATTTAAAATTTTTAAATCTTTTTTATTAATCATTTTTTTTATTTTTCGATATATTTTTGTTTTAATCTTTTTTTAATTTATCGTTAGAATTTGGGATCTTGCTTTTTAACCTTTTGCTTTCCACTTCCCGCAAAAATTGACCCAGCCAATAAACTGTCTTTTAGTAAATAAATAAAAAAATAAATAATAAATAAACAGGCTTTTAATCAAAATATAAAAACCAAAAATCAAAATTAATAAAATTAAAATCCACCCCTCTCTCTCTCTCCTCTCTCCGACGCGGGTGAATTTGCAGAAACTCCCCACCGACGCAGCGGTCAGCGTCGTCGCAGCTCTAATCAGGTCCTTAATTTCTCAACCTCTGCTGATTTTTCATTTAATTACTCCCAAAGATCGAACCTTTCTGCTTTGATTTCGCTTAATCACCTTTGGTTTCGAGCTTTTTACTGTTTTACCCGCGTTTTCATGGCTTCGAATTATAGGGCTTCTCGATTTTATGCTTTGGCGGTTTCTGATAGCAATTACAGGAGAAAGCCGATTCCTTTTGATTGAATTTATATTTTTTCAGGCATCTATGCAACTTGATCATTCGGTGGCGTCCAATTTGTCACATTTTGTTGGCAATTATAGTTTCGATTGCGAAATTATTTCTATAATGATTGTAATTATCACTGATCTGGGTTTAAAGAGTTAATTTTTTATTAATTAGGAATTGTATAGCATTCTAACAGCTCGTTCTAGTCATTGTTGTTGATTGTAGTGTTATTCATTGTTGTTTTGAGAAACTGTTCATCAATGTTGCTTTTTCATGGCAGGTCGTACAGTTTCAATCTGAGAATTTACCATCGTATGTTGACGATTAATTCCCCGTCATTTTTGAAGCTAACTTGAGGTCTATGCCCCGATTTTTTACTCCAATGACAAGATATGGTCAAAATGAGGAAGGGATCTTGCTAGTTCAGTGGTGATGAGAATTTCGGAGTTGGGATTTAGTAAAGAGGTTGAATTTGTTACCAATGGGTTTGAGATATATAGCCATCTCTGCGGCATGTACAGCAATAAGCTTTGCGGGTCTCCAGTTGTGGACGGAAACTTCTTTAGTTAAACTAAAATCAGATGGACTGATTGCGGAGAATTTGATTAATGCGGCCAATTTTGGCCATGTATTTGATCTGCTTTTGGGTTCTTATACTACCGTCGGACTGCTGGCAAATTTTGTACTCAATGCATTTATTTTACTCGTTCTATGTCTCAAGGTAATATTCTACCTCATCTGGAAACTTCTGTTGTTGCACAACTGTAAGTTTGATGGATGCATGAACTAGTGCAGTGGGTTTATAAACTTTATATTACAGTGAATAGGAGATTTATTAGTTTGTGGGTCACAGTTGTTGCTATCGGTTCTAGTATTACTTTCATATGTCGTGCCAGTTTGATGAATTTTGGCAAGAAACAATTTTTCTACATTTCCTGCTAGAGATGGTCATACCAGATGCCATTATTGAAACATGCAATAAAAATCTTGGAGCTACTAAACTACTCATTGTCTGTTTTCCTTTATGTATGTGAAATTTGTTTGAGGAAGGTTGATTTGATCATCTGATGTCTGTTTCTAATCTGCAGACTATATTCTTTGTGGAGTTGTATCCTTCTGAAACTCGCAAATTAATTGAACGCCTTGTCAATTATGTTATTTACAAGGTGAATACTTTAACTTGCTGTCAGTTAATTCGCTTGCTACCAGTAGAATCACTACTTTAATGTGATAAACTTTCCTTTTTAATTGTTTTATAATACTTAGTGTTTAATAACTCCATCATGTATTAATACGTATTGTTCAATGATTTATGCTTATCAATGAATGTCAAACAGGGCACTTTTCTACCCCTGGTCATCCCTCCTACAATATATCATGCGGGCATGTGGTCAGTCTGGTTGATTGTTCTTTGTTCTTTAAAGGTATATAACATGATATTTATCAAGAACATGATGTTTATGGAAGTATAGAAGTAAGTGCATACCTTTTTACCTATCTTTTCTATGTACTTATATAGATGTTTCAAGCTTTGGCTCGAGATCGACTTGAACGGTTGAATGCATCCCCTTCTGCCACACCATGGACATATTTTCGTGTGTATTCAGTGTTATTGCTGGTGCTCACCGTTGACATTTTCTGGTATTGCTTTATCACTTTTCTTGGAGTACGAACTAGCTCTCTTGCATGTCACTTATCATGTCCATTTTGGGTGCATAACAGGATAACACCACAGGTTACAGGGTGAAATACTCTTTTATTTTACCTTTAAAAAAATTTCTGTGTATGTCTAGCAGTATTAAACCACTCCAATGCCACCTTTCTAGGCCAAGTTTTTCTTTTGCCTGGACTAGATCATCAATCAGCTTGGATTTTTTATTCCCAAAACCTGCCGAGAAAATACTTGTAGTGGATCAGTTGTTTAGTATTCCGAAATTATTTAATTGATTCATGAAGTCTTTGTTCACATAACTGTGTGTTGCTCCTCTCTCGTTGCATGAGTTTGTATTACTGAGAATTGGTTCATTCTGTATATTTTGCTCGGTGCTTGCAGGATAAGGCTGTGTGTGGTGATATATAAAACACTGGGTTTATCCATGTTTCTCCTGTTATTATTTGAGCCTTTCAGTATTGCATTTGAGACACTGCAGGTAATCTCCTGGGAATTTTGTCATGAAACGTTATCATGTTATCTGTCCAATTTTAAAAAGATAGTTGACAGTGTTGGTTGGCTTGTCACAATGCTTTTGTAGGCTATTTTGGTGCATGGATTTCAGTTACTTGATATATGGATCCATCATTCAGCATGGGACAGTTCAAATTGCGAGGGGTCTAAATTATTTGATACATCAGCAGCTGGTAGTTCTCCAAATTTATTTTTATTTTCTCACATCGTAAATGGGGTTGTTGGGGATGTTCCTATTCTCTATAGTACGTTGTATTGGTAACGGCTTACTTGAGTTTTCAGATCTAAATTGGGGGTTATATGTAGTCAGGTTATAGTAGTTACTATTTTCATTTTGTCTCACTGCAGGTTTATTGTTGGAATGGAAAGGCAGTCTTACTCGGAATTTGGGATTTGTTCTTGATATGGCAACATTGTTAATGGCCCTTGGTCACTACGTGCATATTTGGTGGCTTCATGGCATGGCATTCCATCTGGTGGATGCAATCCTTTTTCTAAACATACGTGTAAATATTTTCATTCTACTTTCTATTGGAACATCTGTTTTCTTTCTTACTTGATTCCCCAATATCATCTTATTCCTAATTAAGGATTCATTATTGAGCAGGCCTTGCTAAGTGCAATTTTAAAACGTATAAAGGGGTTCATCAAACTGAGGAAAGCCTTAGGTGCTCTTCATGCAGCACTTCCAGATGCAACATCTGAAGAACTACAAGCATATGATGATGAATGTGCAATTTGTAGGGTATGATTAGTTTTTCCCCGAAATTGGTTACTATTTCAGTTTTTTGTTGGCTCCCCAAACTTACTTGGAAAATGGCAGGAACCTATGGCTAAGGCCAAAAGACTACACTGCAGTCACCTTTTTCATCTTGCATGCTTGAGATCTTGGTATGGTTCATATTATTTGTTAAGTATACCCTTACATTTTCATATTTTTTAATTTTAAAGCATGTGGTGCCTAGGAAAATAATGAAAGTTATTAATAATTCCAGGTTGGATCAAGGTTTGAACGAGATATATTCATGTCCGACTTGTCGCAAGCCACTTTTTGTGGGCAGACCTGAAAATGAAATACATCCCCGCAGTGAAGAAACTTCGAATGATGAGCAGCTTGCTCGTCAAATAAGTTCAGGACTTGATCGACAAAATACTCCTGGACATGCAATACCTGCTGGTGTGTTTCCCAATCAGGCTCAGAACCCTGCAGAAGGCGATCCATGGAGGTACGAAACCTTATTAGGAAGTATTGTAGTTTCTCTTTGTAATAAATTCCATAGGGTGATTAGATTCCAGTTCATAAACAAGAAGACAAATACTCTGTATGGTTGCATAATCCTTAAAGAAGCATGCAAAACAGGCACTCCTCGTTGCTTTTTTTCTTAAACTGTTTGATTGCGAAGTAATAGAAAGCAAACAATTTCTTTCCCGTTGCTGTTTATTCCTTATACGCTCAGATGCTGTAAAAGAAATTAAATCTGTTAGAATAAAACCGCATCAGGTAAAGACTTCCATTAAAAAGAAAAAATAATTGTTTATTAGTTTATATAATACACAATATATATATCATGCTTCTCCTTATGGCCCATAGGGGTGCAGGACTGGATCCAGATTGGTTGCATACTTGGCCAAGTCAGGGAGTTGACGGGGCAGGTCCTTCTACAGCCATAGGATCTGTTGGACTGGGGAGAGTTCAGATGATGATGAGGCATCTTGCATCTGTAGGGGAGACGTATGCCCAAACGGCACTCGAAGATAGTGCGTGGAGCCTCTGGCCTATGAATGCCCCTCAGGTTGCTGCTACTGGTCCATCTATTCCTCCTGCTGATGATGGAAGAAACCATGGAGGAGCACGAAATTTACATACGAGGACCCCCTCACGTAATGTGAATGACAACCTAGCAAACATACTTGCCATGGCTGAGACGGTGAGGGAAGTTCTGCCTCATATGCCAGATGACCTAATTTTCCAGGTACAGTTTGTTTTTACGACACAATTATGCTTTTCGTACGAATATATTGTCAATTATCATTTTATAACAATTATATCGAAGCTTGTTTTTAAACTTTCATTTTACATTCCATAATGTATTACGTTTCACAGGATTTGCAGCGAACGAATTCAGTTACGGTTACTGTGAATAATCTTCTCCAAATGTGACGAGGCATTGTATCTTCTTTTGTTGTAATGTGTTCCCAAATACCCGAAACTAGTTCAAGGTTGTCCAAACACCACGATCGTCCTCTGTGAGACTGTTTTCCCACCCACTGTACATAAAGGCAGCTCACCGGATCACTTTTACCAATGGAAAGACGGAAAAGAGGCACAAGTATAGTTTCTTTATTTTGCAATTCCCCCATGAAAAATAAATTTTCGATGTGTATCGTTGATTGTTGTTTACTGTGGTTTGGAATTTGCCATTCGGCTGGCTCGGCCAGAAGAGTTGGTGCATACACGAAAATCTCCCCTGTGGTTCATAGCTTTGCAAGAAATATGAAATATGCAATACCCAATTGTGCGTGTATATCGAGTTTAGATGAAAGTAGTCAAAGGGCAAAACGCCGGCTGAACGACATGGGCGCTTAGATGACCAAGAAGTGCTGGGTTTGAGACGACATGAGTCGAGCTATTTCGTCAAAGCACAAACACCAATGGCTATTGTCTAACTAAAGCCGTTAACAAAACGAGAGGGGAGAGGGGGGGGGGGTGTGTTCTTCAAAATGTCAAAGTCAACAAGCCATTGTCTCTGCACGTGTCAAATTCTGGTTAAACTGACCCAAATTTCTGATTTTCTTCTGCTTTGACTTTCCTACTATGAAGAAAAGATGTCTACCATACGATTCTAATTATTAAGAAAAGAATAGGCAGCGATCTCTAGCTCAAGTGATAAGGAACACCCGACATCAAATATTATGTTCAATTTTGTTTTTTAAAATATTGTATGACATATAAAAGAGCGATCTTAAGCCAACAATGCTTCTCGCTTTGAGAGGGTTGAAGGAACGTCTTTCGTATGTTGTTTTACTCTTGCTGCAAAGAAGCTGTTTCTACAACCCATGAGAAACAACATTTCCGTCTTGATTCATTGCTAATCAATCTATATATTAACTTTGTCTTTTAATGGTCTCTTTTTCACCTGAATTTTGTGGGTATGGTTTTTAACTTCACATTGAGGGTCCTTTTCAAAATTCAATGGAGTTGTTAATGTTGTCTATGTTATTAGTGACAATTGCAGCTACTGTTTTACTGAGGTTCAACCATTTTTATGTCCCCTTGCACCCCTTTTTCTACTCCAAACAGTGCCTTCTGTCTCTCACCAGCTCTCGTCCTTCGGCAGCCACGAGAAGCTGGTCGTAGGCTGAGTTTCCTTATGTCATGGTAAATAATAATCCCACCAAATTAACCCACGATTAAGCATGTTAGGTTAATGTTTTAGGGTAAAGTTTTTGTGCAGGTACGGAAGTTCGAGCAAAAAAGCATGCATGCAACAGACACGGATCGACAACCATGAAAATCTGACGGAAAGAATTGAGGAGGTTTTCGATAGAAACAAATCAACGTGTATTTTCTATTGTGCCTTTCCACTTTTTGCCTCAACTTATTTACTTTTGGCCTCAGCACATTCCCCTTGGTTCTATATTTTTATATGAACGCCATCGACAACGATGCTTCGAAGTTCGAATTTACAAACTATATAGTCCAAAGGTTTAATTGTATTTTACTGATCTAATTGGGACCATTGGGACCATGAAACTATTTCTTGATGGGAAAGCAAGGTCTTAGTTCGATGTGAATGCAGGTGAACACTATCACGTGCTCGGGATTTTGAGGCGTGACTGAAAAACTAGCAATACATTGCGACTAATTTTTAAGTGCAGAACATATGAATTGACTAATCCCAGCTGCAACAAACCTACTTTTCTCTTTTTTGCACAAAGTACTAAATGTTGTAGTGTAAATTCATGAGAAGTGGAAAATTATGGTCTGTCCAAATCATCCTCCGCAACTGAAGGAAGCATGCATGCGTCCTTGTCTAATTATTTTTTTAATTCTTTACATTTGGTCATAATCCCGATTAAACTAGTTAACTTTAAACCGATTAAGTTGTGGCTTAATTCTCTCATGCATGTCCGGAGTCCATGAACATATATATATGTTTCTCTCAAAGCCTCAAAGTATAGCATATCTAATATATCTAGGAGTTACGGTTTCACTTTCCTTGGTGAGGGTTTAGGGTTAGGTCTTTATCTTGGGGCCCTTGTTTTAATTTCTAGTAAAATAGACAAGTCATGCAACCCACCACAACCTTCTTCTTTCTTCTTGCATAAGTCTCATCACTCACTCACTGTCTCTCCATCTTGTCACAACAAATCGAAATATCCTTATATAGTTGCTGCTGCTTCTTCTCCATCTCAAGATCGTCGTCATGTCGAGTATCATATATTCTGTTTTCTCGATCTTTCTTCTGTTTCTTTCCATGCATGAATGCCAGGCTCGCGATATCGTGCTTGTCCCTAAGGGTGTTGGAGCAACATTCCAACCTTCCAGCAAGGTTTGTTATTCTTGTGTTTCAATTAATAGGGGTCGTTTGAAAATAATTTCATTTTTAATTAGTTTTCACTTTGTTTGAAAACTGAAAACTTGTTTGGTAATGAAAACCAGAAATTGCAAATTACTTTTGTGAGTTCTCAAAAATTTGGCTTGAAATTGGTTCTGTTTTCAAATATTTGAAAAACTGAAACAGTTGTTTGCTGCAGTGAGTGCAATCACTAAACTAAAAACTAAAAATTGAAACTAAAATGGTTATCAAACGAGCTCTTAATATTTCCGCTAAGTTTATCTATGAAAGTTCATAAACTAATGCATGCACTGTTAAATTTCAGGGTTTGTTACTTGTGGAAAAGTTTAAAACACTTGGAATGGATTCCAGTAAAGGATTCGTTACGAAGGAAGATGATGAAGTTGAAAAGGTTCATGGTGGAGCAATCACTAGTACGACTACTCAAGACACAAATGAAACAAAGGACTCAAAGACTCCTCCTCCTCCTGTAAATGAAGTGAAGTACAATAGCAGAGGACAAAAATCAGGTGTTGTACCAGCTACTAAGCCTCTTGTTTCAGTTTCTTGGCCTGCACCGCGCAAGATTAATCGTGCCAAGAACCATGGAAAAACTAATCCCGGGATTTACTCAGATTATTCGAGACCAAGAACACGTCCTCCATCCCATAACTGAGCTTAAATTCTTTATGTAGTAACATTTTTTTTCCTTCTTCATCTATAAATATGAATATATCTTTATCTTTCATAAGAATATACATAAAGAAGGCGCTTAAAGTATCCTTGGAGTATACGATCTCTATATCTCCAAGGACTACTTTGTATCTAAATAGTACTCAGATCCAATTGAACATATTAATTATTCCTTGCTGAGATCTCCAGTTTTAATTGTAAACCTAGATATTAAGTATTAACTAATCAATGTATTATATATGATCGGTCGTCTTCTTGTCATTTCATTGATAGGGATGGAACATGCCGGAAGTGAGATTCTAGAGTCTCTTGGTCACATGGTGGGCTTGCTTAGAGCAACAAGTCCTACTACTAAAAAGGTAATCAAATTCACATAGGGGTCTAATCACTCCTTGAGTTGATCTTCATTTTCTAGCTAGATGGGACCTCATTAGGACCAATCTTTTTCAATATGTCGAAACCTTGAGTTGATCTTGTTTGTATGCCTGAATTGTTGAATATGCGAGTTGGAACAAATAAATTGGATGTCGATACTGGTAGTTGCAATGTTGAGGTTTTACTGTAAAATAAATTGGTTATATGAGGAGTAATTCAAATCCTTATAAGCACATGCAAAGTCTCTTAGTTATCCAATGTGAGATTCACACTCTCAACAACTATCTTATGGATGAAACCCACAGGAAAAATGATAGGAATAATTAAACCGTCGGCGAGATTTAAAAAATCAAAGTTCTATATAAGAGGATTAGTTGAGAATGTTAATAATTGATCAACGTGTTTCGTATGCATATGTTGTATGTGTAGGAAGCAAGGAGGAGAGCTCTATCTGGTAAAGAAGCAGTAAATTACAACACTGATGACAAAGTAGACGATAATGTGGTGCATACAGATTACAACCCACCACATTCGACACCACCCATTCACAACAGAAAAACTTGATTACGACCGATGTGATCTAGGGTTTATACAAGTAGAGCTATGGGCCTATGGCTACAAGTATATCTAGTGCAAACATATATCATACATAGAGACAACCATTTGGTTGCTAATCTGCTGTTATGTTTTCTCATATCAAAGGGTTCATCAGAGACTTCATCGGTTGTATTAATACAAAAGTAAGGACACTACCATATATCAATCAGGATAAATAAATATCAGAAGAATCAAGTAATTATCATCCACAACGCAAATTAAAGGAAGAAACGATTGGTTAATACGGCATAATTTCAATTGATATCCAGAAGGTAGGATGCACCACCAAAGCAGAAATAAAGAAACAAATGAAAAGGCTAATTAAGTAGGAGTAAGAAAATTCCCATATTGCTGTGATCCACATTGAAACAGAAAACCTCCAGGAGACAACCCCGCCACGACGGCAGAAACCATCCCAAGCAACCACCCTATCACCACCGCCCCACACATCATCCTCACCCCAACACCTCCGTTACTCCCACCACTCTTCCTCTCTCCTTCTGACGCCGATGATGAAGATCTCTTCACATCAACTAACTTAGCAACTACTCCTCCATCAGTCTCTTCCTTCTCCTCCACGATCACTTGACTACGATTCTCACGACCAAACAAAACCACCGGCAGTTCCTTGTACTCTTCTTCTTGTACGTCTTCCTTTTCTTCATAACATCCTTCTAGGTCTTGGTACCGATGCGGGGATGACAACCCATCGACTCCATCGTCTGCAGTGGCATCGCCGTCGTCATTCAAGCACGACTCGGTACAAGAACACGTCGAACCGACATCTTCATGATCATCACGCACGTGTTCACAATCCATGCCGGAAGAGGTTAATCCCAAACTGTCTACCCACTCGGAAAGTATCTTCCCGAGTTCCTTGAGCCTCCGGGACATGTGTTCCAAGTGCTTGGGCTTCGACGGGCTAGACGCTTTCTCCGCCGACAGCATTTTCTCGAGAAAACTCAGCCTTTGCGCCATATCTAGGAAGTGATGAAGTTGGCATTCTGCCGCCAACTCTTCCGGTGGAAGAGCTAACACGCTTTCGAGATACGACTCCAGTTCTTTCAGTTTCTTCCGCAAAATTCTGTATGTCTTCGTCATCGTTGGTCTTCTGTGTGATCTGGGAGGGTTGTGGTTGTAATGGGAGAGGGTGGCGGTTTCCTTGAAAGCGATTTGGGTTTTGGTTGGGATTATATCGTGGGATGTGGCGGTTGAGGTTTTGGAGAAATTTTTAATTGTGATTCGAACATAAGTGGTACATCACGTATTTTAATAGAAGTAGTGGGAAATTTTATTTTTTAAGTTATTAATTTTTTAACATATATATTTCACGATTTGTATAATGACACGTAGTATACTACTTCATACACCAGTCACATTAAAAAATCTCTTGAGGTTTTGGGTAATGACCCACGTAGTGTTTACCTATTTGCACTAGCCCCCAACCCCACGTCCTTATTTGACTACTTCTCCTTTTGCATTGACAGTTATACCTTTTTAAGTTTTTCCCCAAGCATTACAATTCAGCGATACTCTTCATTTACAAAAAGAAATTTATGTTTGTGAAATTTTGACACTAATTTATTATATTGACTTATAGTGTGGGTTAGGGCTAGTTTATTGATGTAAAAATTGTTTTTAATGTGCTTTAAGAATAATCAGTTATAAAATAAAACAGATAAACGTTTAATAACTTGTATTTTCAAAAATGTTGTAAGTATGAAAAAAGGTTGAAGTGTTTACTAAATTAATGTAAAAAGTGATATAATGTATTAATGACAAAAATGAACATGGTAATGAGAGTAATGATGACAACTGCGGTGGAGGTAGCGATAGGCGGTGGGGTGATGGTAGCGGCAATGGTAAGGGTGTGTTGGTAGCGTCAATAGTGGTTTGTGGTGGTTGAGGATGTAGAGGTAACAATTGTGGTAGGGCAACAATAGCCGTGGCAGTAAAAGTGGTGGTGGCAATAGTGGTGGTGTAAGGTTAATGTTTGTAGTAATAGATGGTGGCGATTACTTTGTTTAACAAGGAATAAAATGTATGTAAAAGGATAATAATGTCATTTTCTAAAAATTAGTTCCACCCGCTGTTCTCCCTTCTCTTTGGGCTTTTGCACTTAAAGGATAATAATGGCAAGGTACTGTTTCGATCTAAATAAAACTGTCTTAAAGCCCGGCCCAACTCTAAACCGGATCCAGTGCAAAAGTGTCACGTACGGCGCCGAAAGCCTCATCACGTGGGGTCAGAAACCGCACATGCCCACCTACAGTATTCGCCCACTCAAAGTCTGAAACCGACCCACGGAGCCAACAGTTCCCAGATTCTCATGTCCCCGTAAATTCGACATCTTACCATGCCCATTTACGTCCATTCATCACACTCCATTACGCGGCGAGTCCTCCTTTATAAATGAGGATCTTGATAGGATTCTTTTTGTGAGAATCTTAAAAATTTTTCAATTATATTCATTCATTGTAAATTATGCAGTTAGAAATATAAATAATATCTTATGAAAATTGATTGTAGGATAATAAACAGAAATGATTGAAGGATCCTGAGATCCTCACAAAACAAAATCCGAAAAAGATCTCATCTTCCTTTCTTTCAATCCAAGGGAGATTTTTCAATGTGACCGGCATACAAGATAGTACATCATGTCTCACTATACAAGATAGTACATCATGTCTCACTTTCAATCCAAGGGAGATTTTTCAATGTGACCGGCATACTTAATAATTTAAAAAATAAAAATTTCCACCGTTTACATAAAAATATGTGATCTACCATCCGTATTCTCGTCACATTAAAAATTTCACTATTCCAAGTCACCATATCCTCACACCAGCTGTTCTCGAACACGCGAAATTCCAGTTATACCCTTCCCATTATCCTCTTCCCTTTTCAGTTTTTACCCATACCTCGGACTCCTCATGAATTTGTCGCCTTCCTCTTTTCCTCATCTTTTAATCTGCGTCCCTCAACATCCACAGATCACAATCACATAGCAGATTGCGTCCAACTCGTTCGCTCCGACTCAGTGATTTTAGTACCGAGTTTACTCAATCGAACACTATGAGCTGGCTCAGGAGGATCGAGCTCATTGAGCCCTACTACCGCCCGCCGCCGCCGTCGGCGGTTATTCTCCGGGAGACCTCCATTTTCGCCGCTCCCAAAACCCTGCATTGCCCTTTCCCTTCGTTTTTCGAGGAGGTTGAGGAGGATTACGAGCTCGGATACGCGCTGGAGCTGTTGAGTCCGACCCCGATCAAAACGCCGTCGCTTCTTTCCTACGGGATGATTCGGCGAGTCGAGAGGCTCGGGGGTGAGCTGTTCCTGCAGAGCCTGAGCGACCGAGTCAGTGAGCTCGAGTCGCGGTTCGATCGGCTGGCGATGGTGAAATTGGGCGGGGATCGGAAGTACACTTGGACGGCGGAGATCAAGGGGCCGGAGAAGCACGGGCTCGAGCGGAAGTACAAGTTGACGACGGATATTAAGGAGGGGAAGCATAAGAACAAGGCGGCAGAGGAGGCGACTGCGAAGAAGTACAAATGGACGGCTGAGATTGAAGGGAAGGGAGAGATCTCGCGGAAGTACTCGTTCACAGCGTCGAATGGCGGTGATAGTGACAGTAGCGACACCAAGGAGAAGGAGAAGAAGAAGAAGACGAAGGGCAAGAATGGAAGCAAGAAGGAAAAGAAGGAAGAGAGTGACACGCGTCTGGTGGAGATTGAAGAGCTTGTTGATCATGGGGCTGTCGTTCTACGACAGGTAATTTGAAATTACACTTTAATCCATGCTTGAGCTGAATTTCTTACAGAAAAGTTTGATTTTTAATTTATTTTGTTCCATAAATTTCATCCTTTGAGCTTAAACATAGTTTAGCCGGTGGATTACTAGTAGTAATGTGAGATTACATTTTAAACCAGGGATTAGTTCTTGAGGTGATTCAGTTGAATTTACATCGATATCGATATTCAATTGTTTATCTTGGTTCAGTGGAATACCATGTTTAGTTTGGTTTAGTTGATTGGCAATGCTAATGTGAACTCACATTGCGAAACCCCGGATTTGTTCATGAGTTGATTCAGTTAAAATTACATTGATTTGATTTGATTAGCTTGTTTAAGAGAAACTTCAAAGTTTTAATTACAAATGGTTTAATGTTGTATTCCCGAATTGCTCTAGTATAATGAGGTGTTGTATTTGTAGGCTTTTGCAAAGAGAGCTGGAGGCAGCAGAAATGTGAAGGGCAAGAGGAAGGAGTTGTCTCCTCAAGATGCAGCAATGATGATACAGATGACTTTCAGAGCTTATCTGATCCGCAGATCACAGGCTCTTAGGGCCCTTCGGGATCTCGCTGTTGCCAAGTCCAAGTTGAAGGAGCTCAGGGCACTGTTTAATAACTTCTCTTACCGCCGCCGTGTTGCCCATGATGCAGCAGAGCGTCAGAGGTTCACTGAAAGAATCATCGTCCTCCTCCTCACTGTTGATGCCATTGAGGTAACTTTGGTGACATTTGTTTTGAATTTATATTTGTGACGCTCATGTTCGTGTATGATTCTCATAACTTGAATGTAAAATCGCTAGGCATTGTTGATACGTGTTGTGGGCATACAAACTCGTAATTTTAAACTAAATTTCGTTCTTGCTTGAATTTTGAAAGTAATGAAAATTTATCATATCAGGTTGATCCCTATTGCCACCACTTCTTTGAGAACTTCATTCAGTAATTGAACTTTTATTTGGTCCAAAGGAGTGTATCAATGTCGGTCGGTTCCTTAATACTAAATGCTGCCCTACAATAATCAAGGAAGGCATTACCTGACATGAAACTGATCTACAATATGTTCTCTTAAACGACGTCAATTGATTTTTACTCTAAATACGAGAACAAAGTGTTACGAAACATCCTTTGATCTTCAGATGAAAATAGATCATCAATTTCCGGAAGAGAGTACTATAGTTGACAGATCATGTTTCATGTTTTGCACAAATATGCACATTTGCACAGAAAGCTAAGAAAATTCTAATTTCGCTGACTGGCACACTAGGTTCCTTGTTTTCCCTTATTTTACTACCATGTCAAAGCAATCATAAAGTTAATGAATTAGCGGGTTTTTTGACAATTTGCATTGTATTTAGGGTGCTGATGTGATGGTGCGTTCAGCAAAGAGGTCAATGGTGGATGAACTTGAAGCGATGCTTGATGTGGTTGACCCTCAGCCTGCTGGTGCTGGAAAATCACTTTCCATGAAGAGGAGGACCTTCGATATGCCAGATGGTGTCATTCAGAGGGAAATCGCTGAAGGTGTGGCACAGGTTGTCCAAATGCTTGAACGCGAAGAGAACAGTTCTAATACCTTTGAGGCATGCTTGTGAGCGTATGGTAATACCACCGATCACCGCCATTTAGTGGTTTTTTCTTGTTGTAGCTCTTGCTAGAGATATGTAGCCTAGCTGGGGAGTTTGAAGGGCTTGCTTCTTCTCATGAGTATCAAGTTAAAACCTGCATGATATTCTCCCAGTAGCAAGATGGTAGTCTGGTTTGTCTGCATTGTGCTTAGACTTGTATCGTCAAATCGCTGCGTTATATATTCAGTTTTCTAAGTCTAGATAATCCTTGTTTTGTGAACTACCTTTAATAACATGTTTGACAGAGCTTTGAACATATTCTTGCATGAAGTCTTTCCTTTTGCTCAACTTATTTTTATCATTGATATGTGGAAATCAGTCCGTAGGTTGAGAGAAATTTTTTATTGTAACGGGAACACGAGTGGTACACCACAGATTTTTGTGCAAGTGATGAGAAATTTTATTTTTTAAGTTACTAATTTTTTAACACTCATATCCCACCATTTCTACAGTGACATGTGTGTGCCATTTTGTGTGCCTGTCACACTGAAAAATCTGTCGTATGTTGGAGCTTTCCTCACCCGCACATTTTTTAACACGTGTGAACGGTTGTGATTAACTAAATCTCGACCTAGTAGCATTTCAGAATAGTCGAATCTAAAGGCCTCCCAGTACGACTGGAGAGAAACGATTTTGAAGAAATATACTACGTGTGCTCCAAAGAATTACGTAGGGTGGCCAATGGCCATGGGGTTAAGATAAGCGCCGTCGGCAGAGAAATCGGGCTGTGATTCCGAATTCCTTCTGCTCCATGTAAAGCATAAGACCTCACACAATAAAGCATAACAACAAAGTGTCAGGAAGTATCTGTTGATCGATCTTCGGAGGAAAAAGGATCGTCACTTTCCGGAATGGAGTACTAAACGTCTTGACAACCATGTTTTACACAAGTATGCACATTCGCATAAACGGTAAGAAATTTAGGGTTTCACTGATTGACAAGTTAGAGCATATCTAATTTGTTGGGTAAGGGCTGGAGGCTAGAGGTGCAGTCTGGCTTCTCAAAACGATGATAATATTGCCTGCAGCCAGTATTGTTTCGGCTCTAGTGGTGAAGGGCTAGAGGCTAAGATTCTAAATGGTGAGTGAGACCCACGATGTACATCACTTGGGCTGGCGCTAGTTTGGCCTCACAAGGTGCCTAGGCTTCAATTTGACTAGGCAAATTTGTTGGGTTATAAGTTGTTTGTCAAAATTGGGGCAAGACTATCAGTTTGCTTAGGCCACAAGGCTCACATTAGGTTCCTTGTTTCTAATTTTATTTTACTAGCATGAAAAAACAACCATAAAGTTATTTGACAATTTGCATTGTATTAGGGTGCTCATGTAACGGTGCTCTCGGCAAAGAGGTCGACGTTTTTGATCCCCAGCCCGCTGGAAAATTAATCGCTATCCATGACGAAGAGAACCTTCGACATGCGGTCTCATTCAGAGGGAAATTGCTGAAGGTGTACGTAACACAGCTGCACAGGTTGTCCAAGCTTGACCGCGAAGAGAACAGTTCTAATACTTTTGACGCATGCTTGCCCAAATGTAAGTACTATCCTTTAATTTACGTCTCTTCACATGATAAGAGAGCGAGTATCGCGGGCACCAGTATCACCCTATCACGCAAGAAAAGAGGAAGAGTTTCATAAACTCATTGCACGTGAGTTTCTCGCCTTAGTTTGGGACCTTTGAGGGTACAGACAGGCATGCATGACCAAGCTAAAAGCATGTAGCGTAGAACACCACATTTGGATTGTTCCAATGGAATTCGGTGGTTTTGGTTTGGAATAAGATGGAAGTTTGAATTTTGTAGAGGAAATTAAATACGTGTGCTCCACATTGTGCACGGTAGGCAAGGTATGGAGCTAAGCCCCCAGTTTAGGCCTATAACTTTGACCCAACTTTGTCTCCAAATTCAAAAACGCTACCAATCTCATGAAGAAAACGGTGTCATAAACTCGTAGGCATTGACAGATGAGTCCGTGTTTTTTATACAATGATATATTGGTCGTGAACTCGTCATTTTCGACGTTTTAACATAAAATTCTTAACTTATAAGTAAAGAAAAATACATTCAGACAAAAAAATTTGGAGTTAGCATGGAAAATAAAACAACTTCACAAGGATAAAGTCGAGAATTGAAATTAACGTGAAGTCAAACTTTTGAGCACTTTACAAACTAGCTATTCGTATAATGATATTTCTCTTCTCAATATTGAAAGAGAATGGTCCTTACGTCGAATCCACCGCCCTTTTTGACCCAGAAACATTCGAGTATTTTGTAGTGTTGTACCTGTCCAAAGATGTTCCATTAATACTCATAAAAGGAAGCTTTAGATTGCAAATGACCTCGCCACATATTATACCAACCTTTTCTTGGAAAGCAATCGCCATGCCAATGTTGTAAACCAAACCCATTCATCAAAGTAACAAGACCAACCCTATTATTTTGATAGGGTGCAATTACTTGGATGTCACTCAACTGAAAGTAGATTATATTGTTAGGGTTTGTGAGGGTTATGTTGAGGGTTAGGTTGTAGGAGAGAGTATGGTTGACTTTGGTGTAATTGAATTGGCTAACGTCAGCACCAACGACGGTGAATTCAGAGAATTTGTTCAACTTCGAATGACTTCTATTCATTGCAAGAACAAACATACAAGTAAACAACACAAACAGAAACAACAGCACGCCACCGCCAAATTCGGGGACTTTGTACAACTCCGTATGCCTTCTACTCATCACAAGAACAAACATACCAGCAAACAACACGAACAGAAATAGCTGCACGCCACCACCGGTATTCTCGATGTCTGGGCTTTCAGTTTTAGACATGGCTAAGAAATTGTTAGTGAATGGAAGAAAGGTCACAAAAAGTTCTTGGGTTTAGGGTTTGTATGTACAATCTTAGGGTTTATATGGAAGAAAACCTACTTAAAAGAGAAATGAAATATATATTAACATGTCTGTTATTCTTCTAAATGATATGACCCAGTTTATCGACACACTCTAGCTCAAAAAGTGATGTTTCAAGCTTTTTTTTAATACTATCACATATTCTTAGAAAAACGTAACAGTGTTCATAAAAGTCTTTTTCCTAATTTAACCGTAACAGTGTTCATAAAAGTCTTTTTCCTAATTTAACCGTAGTGTCGATAGGAAGACTTTTCCCATGATCGTTCATGAAGAACATGGGCTCAGCAGAACATTTTAATATTTTTTTTAATATTTTTAGTTTGAATTTCTGAAAACCTAGCCTCTTGCGTGTTCACATTTCACAGTATCTCGTTCCTGCGGCAACATATACCAAAATTATACTGTTGTCTCGATTTTTGACCTCGATCTTGCAGTCGGTAACCAATCCACGCTTCGATATTGTTTTAGGTCAAATTTAAACGCGCGCACATACGAATGTACGTTCAAAATTATTCCATTCAACAAATCTGGTAAAAAAGATGAAATGAATGTTAACAGAGTACATTAATAGCATAAAATCTTTATATTCTATAACAAGCACTTTATATTTTGGGATAAATTGCGGTTTGATCCCCTAAACTATCATTCCAATTGAAATTGACCCTCTAATTTTTTTTGTTTTGGTAAATTAACCCATTGAACTATTTAAAATAAATTAACCCATTGAACTATTTAAAATCAGTTAATTAACCCTTTGCCGTTAGATTGCGGAATCAATTCTGTCAAATTCAAGGGTAAATTAGTCATTTCATCATTAATTGTTACTTGTCAGCTATAATCATCAATAAAATTTTGACATATGGACACAAAATAATTCAAAAATATATAGCATAATGAGAAAACATAAAAAATCAAACGTTTACATAATGGACCATCTCACATTGTCATTACACATTATAGTTGACAAGTAAGAATTGATGAAGGAAAGACTAATTTTCCTTTGAATTTGACGAAATAGTGGATGGAATCTACTAATAAGGGGTCAATTGGCTTATTTCAAATAGTTCAGGGGGTTAATTTACCAAAAAAATAGTTTAAGGATTCAATTTCAACTGGAGTAATAATTCAAGGAGTCAAATGACAGTTTACGCTTATATTTTGTCAGCATACTTTGTAAATTAAAATAAAATAGCTCCTCATCAAAAGTTGTGTAACTCATTGCCTGAGAAACCTTTAATTGTAACGGGAATAAAAGTGGTACACCACGTGTTTAATAGAAGTGGTGAGAAATTTTATTTTTTAAGTTATTAACTTTTTAGTACACATATCCTACCATTTGTATAGTGACATATGGTGTACCACTCCGTGTATTGGTAACATTGAAAAATCTCTCTATTGCCCAACTGATGTAATCATTGCATAAATGATTCTCATGATAATAGGGTATTTGGAAATTAAATTCCGTAGTAAAATAAAAAAATAAACGTTTGAGGTGAAATTTGTTAGACATTAAATTGAAATTGAAATTTTTGTTAAGTCTCCGTCAATATGCAAGACTAAACTGGTCATTTAACCTCTGTTAACCCATTTAAGATAATGAGGTCGCAGTTGCATCAGTACTCGCCCGACCTCCTGTCACGGAGCTTCATTGGAGTGCCGAGCATGTGGCGGTGGACTTGCAGTGGAATTAACTAGAAAAGTAATTGTAGGTAGACTAAATTCATAATCTAAATAATATGTCATCAATAATAAACTAGCATTTGCCTACATACTTTGTGTGTGTGAACTTATTTTTTTAGAGAAGAGAGAGAGAGAGAGAGAGAACGTGGGGAATGAGAGGTTTTTGTTTTTGGTTATTTTATTTTAATATTAGAGGTATTTTAACATTAATTATAAGTGAGACTTCAATAAAAAACAGTAAAATTTAGACTTGTGAAATGACATTTTTACCTATCAAAATTTTTTTTTTTGTGTGATAGAAGACTAATTTATTTTTTCATCCTCTTTTGGTTGACAAAGAAGATTTCATTAATTAGTAGAGATAAGTACGTTAACTAATACTTAAGTAATAATTCAATCATCAACTTCCATATTAATTAGTTTACAAATTTAGTTTCCACATTACTCTAACCGGAATGAGGCCGTCGTTGAGCAAAGATGAGCAGAAGAGGCGGAGGGCGATTATTCGACTCGTTTGTTGCATTTTGCCGGGAGTTGTGGACGAAAGCGCCATTTGGGGACATGTTTTGCACTTGTTTGGTGTACTTTACATGTAACCTTTCGTGCCATAAAAGGGCACCATATAGTTTCGAAAGATATTGTATATTTCTATCAAGTCACGCAATATGTTTTTA